CCTGTGGCACTGTGTGCCAGGGCGGGCAGAGGCCCTGTGTCTCTTGTGATTAATGAGTGGCATTTGCACATTGGCCACAAAGTCATCATGAAACTGGGCACCTTGACATGACAACTCTGATCTCTTTACCAGGACATTCGTTTTGAAATGTCCCATGAGTCATGAACATGAGGGCCGTTAAATTATTCTCTCTCAGAATTGCTCCACCAAGTCCTGTGCAGGCAGGTTGATGTATTTGGGGACAACAGGGTTACTCGTCACCTGACTCTTGTGTTTCTGGCCTTTTTCGTTTCTTCTCTTGCTCTGACCAGCACTGCCCCATTCCCCTTTAGCTTGGCTTTCTGGAGGCTGAATCTCGCTTCTTTCCAATGTCCCCAGATGTTATTGATTCCTATTCCTTACTAACTTTTCACTTTCCTCATGTGGCTTCTTGGCTTTCCACCCAAGCTGGATAACCCCAAAACATCTCTTCTTCCACAATAAGAGTGGAGACATGGCAGGAGCATGAGGGGCGTAAAGTGTCTGGATGCAGGAGGCCCTTACAAAGGGAAGATAAGGTTATCTTTAGATAGGATTTCTAGATCCACTTCTGCCTTTGGGCAAAGGTCAGGACCATCTCCAGAGTCAAGATGACATCGAACTGAGTCTCAATGAATGTCTGATAGGACTTGTCCTGACAAATAAGCACGGCAACAGCAGACAGGACCCCATGAGCACAGGAAAATCAGCATGGAATAGCCCGGTCTGTGCATGCACACATGTGTATGCACGCGTGTGCGTGGGGCCTGGAACTGCTGGCATTCCTAGAAGACAAATTGTCGACGAGTGGAGGGGTGGGATGATAGGATTGAGGCTGGAGAATTGGCAGGGACCAGATCATTCATTCAACGAATTCTCTCAACATATTGCAGGCCGACTGAGTGCCCAGTGCTGCAAGAGGCACTGAAAATACGAGAGTAAACAAAACAGACACAAATCTCCGTCTTCTCGGAGTTTACAATCTAGGAAGCAGAGACAAAGAATGCGTTAGATAAAGAAGGTGTCCGTTAGAAGATGGCAGCCCTGAGTCTGAGTCCCACTTGCGCCGTTTACCGACTGTAAGACTTGGGCGAGCACCTAACCTTTCTGCATGGAAGTTAACAACCCTTGCTTATCAGGACCCACGTATGGGTTCGCTCTGCCTCAAAGTAGAGGCCCAGCGCAGCACTTGGCAGGAGGTACTGAATGGTGGTGACGTGTGGTAGGTGATGGTGGTGGTGGCAGCCTTTACCTCACTTTGGTGTTAGGAGCCAAGAGGACCATTTCCTGGTTGTTGGGTTCAGAAGGCGCCCAGGCCTTCTACACTGAGTTACATTTTGAAAAAAGCCGTGTTCCCTCCTCATCGTGATTTACTGCTGCAAAATGTGTTCTTTTTTCAAACGTCACCTTAAAATTTATTATTTCAAATATTTTTCATATAAACTAGGTAACTTTTTAACCCCTAATTATTTTTTATTATGATAAAATATGCATAACAAAATTTACCATTTTAACCATTTTATGTGTACAGTTCAGTGGCGTTAAGTACATTCACATGGTGGTACAACCATCACCACCATCCAGACGTCTCCAGAACTTTTTCATCTTCCTAAATTGAAGCTCTACCCCTTAAACAATAACTCCCCATTCCTCCTGATCCCTGGCAGCCACCATCCTACTTTCTGTCTCTATAAACTTGGCTACTCTAGGAACCTCATATAAGTGGAATTATACAGTATTTGTCCTTTTGGGTCTGGCTTATTTCACTTGGCGTAATGTCTTCAAGGTTCACCCATGGAGCAGGTGTCAGAATTCCAAATTGTATATTTTATGGCTCAGATTTGAAGTGCTGGGGCTAATAGGGCTCTGAGTCTAACCCTCAGCAGAAAGGGTAAATTACTCCAACAGATCGCAGGATGGAGGAAGTGAGAAGGTTGTGGCTAAGAGCAGCTCTAAAATTACAGTCTGTGCCAGGCAGAGGGAGACGTGTCCCCGGGCACTGCCTTTCAGGAGGTCTGTGGGAGATTTGTCCCCAGGGCCTTAAGAGAAGGACCCAGAGACAACCTGGGCATGTCTTTCAGTATCAAGGACCTGTGAACTGTCCTCCCTAAAGCGGTCATGCCCCAAGCATTTCTTCTTCTTTTTTTTTTTTTTTCCTCTTTTTGCTTGAGGAAGATTGGCCCTGAGCTAACATCCATGCCAATCTTCCTCTATTTTGTATATGGGACATTGCCACAGCATGGCTTGATGAGCGGTGCATAGGTCTGTGCCTGGATCCGAACCCACAAACCCTGGACCATGGAAGCGAAGCGCACGAACTTAACCACTACATCGCCGGGCCAGCCCCCCCAAGGGTTTCTTGATGAACTTTAGGAGGCAGAGACCATGGCCTGAAGTTTGTCCCAGAAAAGTCAGTGCTAAACCCAAAGAGATCTTTGCACAGACAGAGCTCAGTGCCAGGGGAAGCTATGCCAGCCTTTGATTCCACCAACATAGCCCTGGGAAAAGGACCCCAGACTGAGCAGCAAGCCTCCTCCCACTTTCTATGACAACAAGTGAATGCACTCGCCGTTGAGCCAGAGAGGAGCAGATGCCTTCACACCTAGACAGTTGAGAGGCACCAGGGGAGACGGACTTGGGAGGCCTGGGTAGAGTCCCGGCTCTGCAATCATCGACCTCACTGGGCTCTAGGGGCAGGCTTATACTGACTGGTCCCAGGGGTTGGACCACACCCCTCAGATCCTTTGAGATTTTAGAAAATCAGCAGCTGAGGCCACTGTTTTCTTCCTTTGGGGTGGCCCATGGCTTGGGTGATTTAGAGGGTGGCAGTGATAATGGATGCCACCAAGAACAATTCCATGCACTTGGCCGGCTTGAGTCCAGGTCACTTTCTCTGGGATGAGTGGACAATGGTGGTAATCATGAGGTACTGAGGACTCACTGGGAACCAGCAGCTGTGCCAAGCACCAACTACTTGGGGAGGCACGCGTGGCTATTGTCCCCATTTGACAGAGAAGGAGATTGAAGCTCAGGGAGGCTTGGTCCCATGACTGATGGCCGGCTGGCCTAGGACTGGAACCTGGTCTATCTGACTTCAGGACTCAGGCTCAGGGAACTGAAGCATGGTTGGGTGATGAGTGAGCTGACCCATGACCTCCCCAAGTCAGCCACCATGGTGAGCATCAGTGCCACTTCCCTGTGGTCAAAAAGGGGCATAAGGTCCGATCACCTGTCTCATCAAAGCTCTTCTAGAATCTTCTATGAGAGGAGGTCTGTCCAGAGAGGTTCTGAGTGATGGTCCATGGGGTCCGAGTGTCTCTCACAGAGAGAACCAGGGGCCTTGGTTCCCTCTCTACTCTTCTAGCAGCCTTCCCACAAAGCTGCAGAGTTGGTACCTGAGGGCTTCTGAGTTGGAGGGGTAATGGTGTCCTCTACACTCTCCTTTCCCTTCTGGGCTGAATCTGTGTTTAACCTCAGCTCCAGCAAGTGCTCACTTCTCAGGGGGGCAGCGCCAGGCTGTGGGAGCCCTTGCCATGGGCACTGGCTCATTCCCCAGAGCACTCAACTAGGCTGGGGGCACTGTGCCAGCTTGGCCCCTTCTTCCCTCCTTGCACCCAGCCATGATGCCACCAGCTTGTTCCTCCGTCAAATGGTGACAGAGAGGCAGGGAAGGAGGCAAGGGAGTGTTATTCATCCAGCTAAGATATCCATGTTCTCAGGACATTGGCACAGCCCACACTAGCCCAGCCCCACCTGCCCCGGGTAAGGGAGGGCTGGTTCTATGATCAATAGCCTTGCACTCCTGAAAGTATCAGCCCTCCTTTATTTATACCTGATCTGTCCACCCGCAGAGACAGGCACCCAGTGGATTCTAATAAATAGTCATTGAATTGAATCAACTGATTCATCTTTGTGCCCCCTCACCTCCCACAATGCCTCGGCACCCCTAAACCTGTCTCCTGGGACCGCTGACATGGAGAGGAGTTGGAGAGTCCCAGGAATTCCCAGATCTTATGAAAATGAATGGTCCACAGGCAGGTTTGCGGACACCTCCAGCAGAGGCAGGACATGGGGCCAACGGTGCATTCAGTCTGGCTGGGACAGGGTGTGATTTGGACATCACTCTTGATTCATGGAAAAATAATCTAAAAGCGCCCTTGGCTGGTCTCATACAGGATCTGCCTTAAGGGAATGACTTTGTCTTTCCAAAGGGACTTGGAAAAATTATCCCCCGTTGTGAAAAGTGGCCATTTTATGAAGCAAGTTGTTTCAAAACAAGAGTCGTGGGTGTGTGTCTGCGTGTACGTGTCTTCTCGAGGGGAATTGATCGTCTTAACCCAGCCCTGACCTTCAGCCACGTGTGGAAATTAACTGGAGTTTAGTATTGACACTGACTGTCACACAACTGATGGTGAAACCAGCTTCTAACACTATTTACCCACTCATCGAACATTTTTTTCTTTTTAATTCTACCAGAAAGTGCTTTTGAAATGCCTACATTGGCCACTTATTCAAAAGGCAGCGTGCGTCGAGGAAGAAGCAGACGTCCCGGGATCAAGTCCTGGTTAAGCCGTTGATTTTTCACCTGTGAAGTGCAGCCAATGATACTTTTCCTCCCTGTCTGTCCCACAGGGAGTTTGTGAGCCTCAAGGGAGAAAATGTACCCTGAAATCCTGTAACATGTGTTCCCATCAGTCGTTTAATAAGTATTTGCTGGGCACCTACCATGTGTACGGCTCAGCGGTAGATGGCAGGGAGGATATAACCATTTGTCTCCTCACAATCTTTGGTGTCAGCCTTCACAAAGGTTGTCTCAGCTGCCCTCTGCTTCCACACCCCTCGCCCATCTACAGAGAACCAGGCATCATCTACCCCTGGCTGGTGAAACCACTGGTCTCTTTGACGTGGCTTTCACTAGCCCTAGCTTATTCCAGAAATGAGTTTTCTGAAAGCCTTTTATTCCTCTTTGTGCCTCTGCTAAGCTTCCCTAGGAAGTGTTCCTTTCTGGACCGGGACACAGGACAGAATCTGATGCCCCTCTTCCTTTCCCTGCGTCTGCATGGCATCACCAAAGGTAAGCCCAACCCATGTGAGTGCATCCAAGGGAAGGCTGTTGGGGACCTGCCTCACACCTCAGCCACCCCCAAGGAAGCTCCACCAGATGTTTCCAAAGGAATTAGCTGAGATCTGGCATTGTGACTGCCAAGCTCTGTGGGTTTGGGAAAGTCATGTAACTGCCTGGTTTCAGTTTCCCTGTCTGTAAAATGGGGAAAATCAGAGCTTTCGTGAAATGTGACGATGGGTGGAAGGGACTCATTGAAGGTGAAAGAGTACACAGCTGCCAAGTCTGCATTATTGCCATCTAACCACGTCCCCTGCCTCTTAGAGTGGCATGCTGTCTAGGTCGCTTGTTCAGCAGTTTGGGAGAAAACTCTGGGTGTGTGCTCCAGACTTGAGCGTCCTCAGCCTGATGCTCTGGGCCCGAGGGAACACAGCTGTGACTTGGAAAGAGAAGGGAAATATTGTGTTTTGGGCAGCCCAGGAGGCCACCCAGTGAGATCTTGCATCTGAAAGATCATTTGAGAACTTTTCAAAGCCATTTCCAGTTATCCAGATAGGATGAATAGCTCTGAAATCCAGGGACGGTTGATGGAGCCCAGGTAGTTTTGCACAAGTTGCTTCTAGACACTCCATAGACATTGATTATCAGATCTCAAGTCTGCTTTCTTGGCCAGGATAGCAGCCAGGGGGCTGTGAACGCCTTGGGGGAAAGTGTTCTGTAGTGTGCCATCTGGGTTCCACACAACTAATGATTCCCAGGGCCCTGGGAAGGCCCTCCAATCCTCAGCTCCCGACTTTCTCCTTTTTCTCTCTGTAAATGAAACTTTTGCGGTTCTGTTATGTATAAATCAATAAAATGTTCCCTTTGTGTTTGTTCCAAGGCAAGGATCTGGAGGAGTTAAGGCACATGAACTTCTTCCCCGAGTCCTGGTTGGTCCGGGTCACAGCCAACCATTACCACGCAGTGAGTCGCCAGCTCAGCAAGGAAACAATTATCAAAATTTATTGCCTTTCTGACTTTGCTTTTTCTGGAGATGTGTTTTGCATTTGAACTCTCTGGGCCTTTGAGGTCAGGATGTATCTGGATCCTCCACCAGGGGAAGTGGGGAGAGCCAAGCCTGGAGGGGGAGCGGGAGGCCCAGCCTTGGAACCCAGGAGCTTAGAGCATCCACAGTGTTAATCTGGGGAGTTAGATGGGGTCAAGGAGCACTGGCCACACTGCCCTCCACACCAAGCCCCCTTATTACTGAACATTTTCAAAATGCAGAGAAATTGAAAGAAAGAAAAGACATACCCTCAGACCCATCACCCAAAGACAACCCCTGCTGACGCCTCATTGCATTTTATTACCTTTCAGTCTTTTTGTAAATACACTTAATTAAATGTGCTTCCTATCACCATTTTTAATGGCTGCAAACTCTTCCACCGAAAGAATATTCTGTAAACAATGCTACTTTACCATTCCTTTACTGTCGAAAACTTTTGGTGTTTCTAACTGTTAACTATTATAAATGACTGTATGGTGAACATATTTGCACATAATGGTTTATTTTACTATATTTAGAATTCTTTTTTTTTCTTCTTTTTTATCCCCACAGCCCCAGTAGATAGTTGTATGTCATAGTTGTACATCCTTCTAGTTGCTCTATGTGGGATGCCGCCACAGCATGGCTTGATGAGCGGTGCGTAGGTCCGCGCCCAGGATCTGAACCGACGAACCCTGGGCCGCCAAAGCAGAGCGTGCAAACTTAACCACTACACCACCGGGCCGGCCCCTAGAGTTATTTTCTTATAGGAGATTCTCAAGAGTAGAAAATATTGGCCATAAAAGGAGTGTGCATTTTTGTTCTTGATACATATTAACAAATTCAGGACCAAATTACTCTTCCGCCAGTAAGAAATGAGCGTGCCCCACTTGTACGTGCTCAGCAACGTAGGGCATTTTCATTTCAGATCACTTTTGTTAATTGAGAAGCAAACAATGGCATCTCATTTTTAAATATGCATTTCCTTTATTACTAGTAAATATGAATATTTTTCCATGTGGCATTTCCCCTTTGTGAATTGTCTATGCAAACTGTTGTACTTCTTATATGTTTCCAATCTTGCATTTTTAGAGATGAAGTAGGGCAGTGTTTGAGTTCTGAAGATTTGTGAGTCATTAGTTAAAATTCAATTCAACTCAACAAATACCTATTGTAATGTGCAAACCACAGTGCTCCGTGCCACTGCACAGTAGTAACGACTCCATGGAATGATGCTTCTCTGGGGCGTAATTCAGAACTGTGCTCTAATAGAGCAGAGTTGGGGAGGGGCAACAGAGAGAGAGGACAGTGCCTGGGGCTGGACACCTCGGGAAGTCCCCCCCCCCCTTCATGTCCTTCTGACCCTACCCACCTCCTTCCTTTTGCCCGCTGCTGCCAATATCATGGAGCCTGCCATGCATGATCATACTTGCTCTTGACTTTACGGCCATGATCATTCTCTGCCTCGTGATCAGGCTACTTATGTATATATTTTCTTTCCCCAGTGAGATTGCTCAGGCATTTTTCTTTGTTCTCATCTTTGCATTTTCTGAATGCATTGAGCATGGTACCTAGCACATAGTAGGTTTTCGGTAAATACTGCAGACTGGATTAATGGCTGAATGTAGGATCCAGAGACAGAACTCTCTTTCGAGCATGGTGGGGGTTGTGGGGATCAATGAACTGACGGGAAGATGATGAGAGGCACTCCTGTTGGGGATCAGGCTGCCAGTAAGCTGTGTGCATTTCCCTTTCAGCTGGTGAGTGGGGGCGACATGGCCCACGTGAAGGATCTTACCACCCAAGCTGTGAGATTCGGGCTGCTCTTTAACCAGGTACTGACCTCTAGGCCCAAGCAAAGGGAAGACACGTCCCCTCCCGTGCTTGGTTAAGGACCTTTGTACTATCACTTCTTACCTCTGGTAGGAAGGCAGAGGTAAGAGAGGAAATCGTAGTGTCTCTTCTGCTTGCTCACCACCCCCTAGGAAATAAAATTCACAAGACAGGGCCTGGGCTAGGCCATTCATTAACCTGATGTGCATGTCCAAAATTTCCCCTCAGGGATCACCAACTGTCTCAGTTTTCCAGGGATGGAGAAGCTTTTCTGGGATACAGGACTTTCCATTCTAAAACCAGGACAGGCCTAGGCAAACTGGGATGAGTTGGTCATCCTCTTCCCCGAAAACATCACGAGTTGCCAGCTGCTCACTGAGAGATTCCACTCCAAGCCCGTGTTTAAGGTTACAAGGGTGAACCTATTCTGGGAGGCTATTTTGATGGGCCCAAAATTAAAGCGGTAGTGAGTCGGGGAGCTCGGCTGCAAGGCATCTGGGCGCTCAGTCACCAGGGGAGCATCTGGGGTTGGTGGCCACGCTCTGTCTTGGGTTCCTTGTGATAGGCACAGTTCTCCAAGAAATTGCTGCTCTCCTTCAACTTCTTTAAAGCCATACAGTAATGATCTCAAAAGAATTTGTGTTTCAGGGATGCAGGGCCCTGAATCTAGCATCAGAGCCTCCCCTCTGGGTCAGGCCTGGATGGGCTGGGTCTACCCCTTGCTTGCAGAAACCCACCTAAGTGGATAGACTGCACCCCACAGTGGCCAGGACACCTTGCAATACCGTGAGTATGGAGTGTCTTTTAGTCCCATCAGATTGGAGCAAAATGCTTTGTTTCAAAAGTCTGCAGACCATAGGTCATCTAAGAACATGCTTAACTCATTCTTCTTCCCACGAAAGGAGATAATGTGTCACTGAGCACTAACCGGTAGGATTGGTGAAGTCACTGCAATTTGTTTTGCCTTTGAGTACTGAAGATATTTTTCCTTGTCACTTTGTTGTTTATCTTTCCCAATTTAGGAATATACAACTTTGTCAAAAATGATTGCCATATATGGATTCTTCTTTGAGATAAAGGGAACCAAACATGATACTACCTCTTATAGTTTTTGCATGCAGGTAAGAAGGACAGAGTACAGGAAAGGTGTGTCTCTGACAGTCTTTTAGATTCAGAGTCAATTCATACTAAATTAATAATATTTGATTAATCATTAGTTAATAATTAACATGGAATGTGTTGTAAGCCTGGTGTTAATCACGCTCATAGAGGTGATGTCATTTGATTTTTGCAACAACCTTGGGAGGTTGCTATTGTTAGCCCATTTAACAGAAGAGCATCTCAGAATTGAATGTCTTCATGTTCATATGGCCTCTATTGGCAAAGCTGGGGTTAAATTCTAGACTTGGACTCCACATTTGGGGCTCAATTCATCTTCAGTTCCTACATGATGGGTGATGCTTTACGGATGGTCATTCTTCCGTGGAGGTAACAGGTAGTGCCCACAAGGGGAGAGGGAGTGGTCTTGTTTAGAGTGGCAAAGCAGGCGGTAGACAGACCCCAGAGAATTCAGGAGGGTGGATGGCTTTGCCTCGATGCTCCTGCTGGACTTTTAGGAGAGGCAGGAGAGTGCTGTGTTTAAGAGCAGAGAGTCTGAAGTCAAACTGCCTGGTGAGCAGTATGACATTGGCAAGCCCGTGAACCTCTCTATGTCCAGTTTCCTGATCCTTAAGATGGAGAATGTAACAGGACCCACCTCACTGGGTTGTTGGGAGTACTCATATGTTAATTCATGCAAAGGACTGGAACAGAGCCTGCCACATAGAGCACTACATCATGATGACGATGATGACAATGACAACTATGATGAGGGACCACTATGTTCCACTTAGGATGTGCTTATAAGACTCTAAGACTTCAAGCTCCTTGAGAAACTGTATCTTATTAGTCTTCTTATCACTGCCAATCACAGTACCTGGAACACAGGGAGGTATGTTTGTATCATGAATGGATAAATAAATGAAGAAACCTGAGTTTTAGTCCCAGCTTTGCCACTACCTCATTATGTGCCCTTGAGCAAGGCACGTCTCTTTCTTGGCCAGTTCTTGGTCTTCAGTGATTCAGGCAATTCCCTACACAATGGATTCCATTGGATGGAAGAGACAAATTATGTAACACCACCAGTCGAAATGCTCATATGAATGCTATGTTGGTTTTTAAATTCTGGAAAAGCAATAGTAAAAACTTTCCAATTCAATACAGCTTGACTTAATGGCGTTTTTCTGGGTTGGCCAAACCCCAGTCTGTTGGCCAGTGATTTGCTCACGGTGAAGGCTCAAATGCCAACTGACTCAGCAGCAGAGAAACTCAGGAGATGGGGCCACGGGAAATGCCCTCTTTGTTGGGTTCTCTGCATACATTATACAGGAGGGAAGAAGTGCCAGGAACCAGGTTACGCTAACTCTGGGTCACCCCAGTTTCAGTTCCACCTAAGGTGGATCACCCTTCTTGCAGAGAATAAGGCACACCGACTTGAAATTCTCCTTGGTCAGCGAGTACAGCCCCGTTAGCCTGAGAGCGGAGCGCTTGGTGAAGTACGAGATCAGAGCCCAGGCCCTGGTGGATGGCAAGTGGCAGGAGTTCCAGACAAACCAGATCACACAGAAGTTTGGGTTGGTCAAGCCATCCTGCAAAAGCCACGTGAGTGTTTATCTTTGTCTTTTCTTTTCTCTTTTTTTTTCCTTTTTTGCTCTTTCTCTGCCTCCACCCCTCTTGGAGGATCACTGGTTTTCCATCTCCAGTGATCTAGTGGGGAAGCTTGCTCAGTTTCTCAAGGATTATCACAGCTCCAAATAACGCTAAAGAGAAATCTCCTAGAGGGAATAGCTGGGGATACTGAAAACTATAACCCAAATCTGCTAATTTGGCTGCAAATCGAATCTGCAGGACTGCCTGATGTGAGTCACACCAGAACCATTTTATAAATGTCAACAGGGACTTTTTTTTGGAGCAGAGGAGGTCTGGTGGAGTGTATTTGCCACCAGCACCTCCACAGTTGCCTGGACGTCACTCGTCATGTCCACTGAAATCCACAGCCTGGTCCATCTGCCTCAGTGGGCTGCACCAGCATCCAGGCGGATTCGGTACCTGGCCTGGCTCCTGACAGCCGAAATCCAAAAATTGCCACAGAGCCTGTCTGTAGTCCTGGGAGGAACTCTGAGCTGTGTATTAAAGGACATCTGGGGGCCTTCCTTGCTGCCCTGCAGGGAACGGGACTTAGCCTTCAACCAGTGAGTAATTGTCAGGCCTGGCTGCACATCAGAATCACCTGGCTCTTTGCAAAGTCCCCAGGTCTGAGCGTCACCCAGATCATGAGACCAGACATTCTGCGGTGGGGCCCAGGTATCAGTATTTTTTAAAGATCCCCAAGTTATTCTCTATGATGTTAGAAATCAGAATAGCAATTTCCTTTGTGGAGATGGGAGCGGGGGAGGCCGAGATATTGACCAGGAGGGAACACGAAGGGGATTTCTGAGGTGCCTGAGGTGTTCTTTATCATGATCAGGCTGGTGGTCACACAGGAGTGCTTACTTGTGAAAATTCATCAAGCTGTACCCTGAAGATTTGTGCTCTTTCTTGTGTTTAAGTTATACTTAAATTTTTTTAAGTTTGGTTTAAAGACCTTCCCAGGTGATTCTGATGTGCAGCCAGAGTTGAGAACTTCCACCTTCCATGATCGTGAGACCTTCCTCTTCCACCTTCGAGAGGGCAATTGTGTTTATCCTAAAAGTCCCATTTTCTTTGTTTTGTTTCATCTTTTAGGCCTTGAAAGTCCAAACTGTGGGCATCCCAATCTATGTAAGTTTTTCACTCATCTTCCCAGTATCTTGACAGTTTCCAGAAGAATCTATGGGATTTTTTTCTTCCACTAATCTGCATAAAGGAAAATAAAATGACATTTAATGGACTACTGAAGTATTCAGCTGACTCTCCTAATTAGCAATGGTCCATTAGAACTTTTGCCCGCTGTCGTAGTCTGTTCGGGCTGCTATAACAAAATACCACAGACTGGGTGGTGCATGAACTACAGAAATTTGTTCCTTACAGTTCTGGAGGCTGGAAGCCCAAGATCAAGATACAGCAGATTCGGTGTGGTATCTGGTGAGGGCCCGCTTCCTGTTTTATAGACAGCCGTCTTCTCCCGTGTCCTCGCTTGGCAGAAGGGCCAAGGGAGCTCTCTGGGGCCTCTTTTATAAGGGCACTAATCTCAGTTGTAAGGGCTCCACCCTCATGACTGAATCACCTCCCAAAGGCCCACCTCCTAATACCATCACCTTTGGGGGTTAGGATTCAACATATGAATTCTGGGGGGGACACATTCAGACTGTGGCACCACTTTTGTATCATTTGAGGATGGAAAGTACCAGAGCCATGAGTCCATTTGCCATCATTGGCCCCAAAGCCCCCTAAGTCCAGCCCTAACTTTTCACATCCTCAGGAGCTCACCGATGGAAGCACCAGCAATAACAACATACTCCAACTGGGAGCATCAGGTGCTCCCCATTTCCCATTACATCTCTGCCTGCTGCACAGAACAACACACCTGGCCATTGTCCCTGGCAGTTTTGGCTCAGCCAGAACAAGAGGTAGGAAGGGAAGCAAGCAATTATAAGGTATGGAGTGACTTATCTTATTTACCATCCCACCTTTTTAAATGGAACTCTATGGTTTGGAAAAAGTAAGGTAAGAGAGTCTTCTCACTTTGTGGATTAGTTTTCTATTACAGTGTAACAACATACCACAAATTTAGTGGCTTAAAACAGCACATATTTATTATTTCACAGTTTTTGTGGGTCAGGAGCCCAGCTTTACCGGGTTCCCTTGCTCAGGGTCTCACAAGTCTATAATGTAGTGGCAGCTGGGCTGTGTTCTCATCTGAAAACATGACTATGTGACTGAGGGCCTGGCTGCTTACTGGCTGTTGGGAGGAGGCTGCCCAAGTCCTAGAGGCCCCCTGCAGTTACTTCCTTGCTGGTTCTCTCTGTAGAAACTTCAAAGCATGGCTGTTTGTCTTTAAGACCAGCAGGAGAGTCTCTCTCATTCTAGTTGGCCAAGACAGAGTCTTGTATGACATAAGGTAATCATGGGAGTGATATCCTGTCACCCTGGCCACATTCTCTGGGCTAGAAGTAAGTCACACGTTCTGCCACACTCAAGGGGAAGGGATATACAAGGGGTCACCTTAGGGTGTGTCCACCACAGTGTGTTATCCAGTGTCATTGGAAACGTGATAGAGCATCACACTTCCCAGCAGAGGACTGATGCCATGTGCAGAGTGACCTGGGAGGGAGAAAGGCTGGTGGGAAGGTGTGAAGGCGACCCAGTGGAAGAATTGGAGCACAGGATGGGGTATTGGGTCTGTTCTCAGGTGCATCATGCCCCTCCTGCAAGCCCTGTTCCGGTCTCCAGCACTAGCTTGCTTCTGGCCAGGTCCAGCCACTGGTCAGTGGTGGTGGGAGCTCGGAGGACAAGAGAGCAGGAGAAGCAGGGGAGTTCTCACTCTCTTGGCATGGAGGGCGTTTTCTAGCAGCAGCTGTGTCTCCCTCCTGGCTCCAGCTCACTCAGCCTCCTGCCAGCGCCCATCAGACGGGCCTGCTTCTGCTTCTGGTGACATCACCTCATCCCTGTGTCCCTGCACCCCCGGGGGGGTGACGACTTCCTGCTACTGCCAGTCTCTGGGTTGCCTCATTCTCCCCTGTTCTTTCTTCAGTTCTCTGTATTATATTCGCTCTGTTTGGAATCCCTAGAGTAGATCATGCTTTCCAGACTGGTCCATGATATAAAAGGATTTGATGAGTTGGCACATGTGGGCCAGTAGAGTAAATTGTTGGAAAACACGACCTTAATAATTCCTCCCATCCGCACAGGGCCAGGACTAGGGTGAGGCAAGTGAGGTACTCACTTCAGGTCAAAATACTCAGTAATCCAGATAAATAAGACTTCAATGCAATATTTTAAAAAATGAAAATCAATGCAAAAAATCTACAATGTAGTTCAATGAAGTACTAAGGTGAACATACCCATATAACTAACACCCAGATCAAAAACAGAAAAAGCACACTCAGCACCCCAGATGCCCCACCTTGTACCCTCTCTCAGTCACGACCTCTAAAAGGTAAACACTACCCTGACTTCCATCACTATTAATTAGTTTGGCCATTTAGTTTGAATATTTAATAAACAGAATCATACAGCGTGCACTCTTTCATGCCTGCCTCCTTTTGCCCAACATCCATCCATCCATTCATCTGTCCATCCATCCATTCATGGATGGATCTCATCTTATATTTAAGAGATCCATCCATGTTTTCATAGGGAGCTGTAGTTTATTTTCAAATAAGCATGACAGTTTCATTTTTAAAAAAACAAAATGTTACTTCCATAAAATAATACAAGCTTATCAAAGAAAAATGAGAAAATGCAAAGAAGAAAATAAAATCCAGTGGGACTCCCATCCCTCAGAAGTTTGGCAGGCCACCTTCCAGAATTATTCTTAGGTGCATTTATAGCTTTCTTCCCATTCAAAATGGGATTATGCAGTGCATGCTTCCTAGAACCTGAATTTTTTTTCTCAAGAGTTAAACAGGATGGTTTCTTCCATGGAGGAGTGAGGTATCTGGGGAAGAGGGTGATGATGTATTTGCCTCACCTCCAAACTGATTAACTGTGCAAAGTCAGAAAAGTCACTTGTCACTTCCTCTCTGTGAAGATTGCTCCCTTGTCTATAAAAAGGGCATAAACAAGCCCTTGCGCCTCCCTCTCAGGGCTATGTGCCCTGCAGGCACGGCTGCATGTGACAGCCCCTTTATGGGCCAGCCCCGTGCAGACGTGTGGGGGCTTGAAGTTACTGGCTCTAGAGAAAGAGCAGCCTCATGGCACTTTACCACAGTCCTATAGGATAATAAGGAACATAAGAACTAAAAACTTCTGGGCCGGCCCGGTGGCTTAGTGGTTGAGTGCGCGCGCTCCGCTACTGGCAGCCGGGGTCGGATCCCAGGCGCGCACCAATGCACCGCTTCTCCGGCCATGCTGAGGCCGCGTCCCACGTACAGCAACTAGAAGGATGTGCAGCTATGACATACAGCTATCTACTGGGGCTTTGGGGGAAAAATAAAGGAGGAGGGTTGGCAATAGATTTTAGCTCAGAGCTGGTCTTCCTCAGCAAAAAGAGGAGGATTAGCATGGATGTTAGCTCAGGGCTGATCTTCCTCACAAAAAAAAAACAAAAAAAGGTATAACTAACTCGTTTAAGAAAAAGAACTACAAACTTCTGAAAAGCCAGTCTGTAGATGTCCAAGAGAGAAGAGGCTGTTGGGAAGCTTTGCTGGAGCAGGAATGATTGCCCACCTTCTGAGCAAATCAACTCTCCTAGCTTAGCTATTTGGAATGTGCTTCCGGAGTCTACAAGAGTGGGAGAAACTCGCAAAGCAACAATGCCAAAAACATCTCCCTAACGTGGACTGTAAAACTGTGAGGGGTCCAAAAGCCAGGGAAACAGGAGGATGGCAACTCCAAAGAGGATGGGGTAAGAACCTGAAGGATTGGGCTGCATCCTGCCTTTCAAACCAGCAACGGGGAGGCACAAGAGGCAGAAGGACTTGGAGTGTCAGGCAGAGGCACCCTTGACGTCATTTCCACCTCCTCATTGTGCAGTGAGGGAAACAGGCCCAGCGAGCTGGAGTGACAGCTCTGGTCGGAAGATGCTTACTAAGCACCTCTGACCTTTTGGGCACTTGACACGCACGGTCTCACTGAATTCTTCCAACCCCCCATGACTTAGGTGTGTTTTCCACATCTGGTCAGAGTGGGGGCTGAGCCCCAGAGAGCAAGGCTTTCACCCATCCAAGGGGCCTCAGAGTGGTAGAGCAGGGGCCAACTCAGGCCTGGCCACAGCGCCCATGTGTTCCATTACCCTCCCTGGTCCACTGAGAAGAGGTGAAATGTTTTAGGGTGCTTAATTCAAGTGTTCATTGAACACCACTATATGCTCGACAGAACCATGCGCTGAGCCTCTGTGGCACCGCTGGGCCGTGCTGCGCAGGGTGCTGTCACATGTGAAATTGCATTTGATTCCGAAGGGGCATTGGGACAGGGTGAGGGTCGTCTCACTGAGGACGTGGCACATAAATGTGCCTTGGAGGATGGGCAGGGTCCTTGCAGGCAGAGGATCAGTGAGAAATGGTACCCAGGTGAAGTTCAGACAGCTGAGAGCAGGCTTGTCTCCAGGCCTAGCTCTGGACTGAATGTCACCAGCATCACCCAGGAGCTAGTGCAAATGCAGATCCCTGGGCCCCAGCTTCAAAAGGCTGATCTGAGAGACACCCAGGAATCTGCACTCGAACAGGCTCTGGGGATCCTGAGGCAAGAGGTCTGCAATTACACCCAGAAACAAATCCAATCTGAGAACGTCAATTTCACAACCGGGTTCCCCACTAGACCCTCACACACTCGATTATCCTCCTTAGCCAGTGCAAAAAAAAATCCAACAACAGCAACCCTGTGAATCTGTTTCACCACAGTGGCTTATTTTATTTTTAAAACCAAATTTCCTAGAATATGAAATAAACAGAACCTTGATGAGGCACTCTCCTATGGATGAACTATTTGGTGTAATCCAGAGAGTCCGCCCCTCTCCACTAGGGGGCGAGGTCTGCCTCAAAAAACAGGAGCCAGAATTTCAGCGGTAGGATAAATATCGCAGCACCGAGTCCTCCTTTCTTAGTGGTTGCAAGTGAACTTGTACATCCCGGGTGTGGCTCTGGTCATTCAAACATCCACAGCGTCCACGTCACAAAGTCTCTGAACTTGGGGAGTGTAATTTATGAGACAACAATTCTTAAGATGATCTTACAAGCTTTTCTTACAGGTGAGAATGTCTTAGACCAGAACGTAAA